AAAGATAATTGCTTTTACACAAATAACAGGAACAAAACTAATTTTAGGAAGAATCAAATAATTAAATTTGCCCACCTGAGTTCATTAATCGCGCCAGGTTAACCGTAAGAGCCCGCTCGCGTGAATTGTCAAGAACAAACTGATACGTCTGACGAAGATTGACTCAAGCCTCATTTTTAGATGAGAGTTTTTGATAGAAGATGGAGGGGTGAGTGTTGGAACTGGATTGAATTTATGTATTGTACATATTATGCTGGGAGATATACTGTGCAGGTTGTCGATTGGGAGGCTCTTAGGTAATTGAAATATTAGTGTGGAAAAATTATTCCCTCTAAATGCAAAGAGAGAAACCTAATTACTTAGAATCAAGTTAATCCTACAATTAGCATAAATCTTAGCGTAAGGAATAATTTATCTCCGAAATTTTACTCGCGAAAAATTTAAAAACGTTAAATACATTTGCAATAGCTCAAGATATTTTGCATACGAATACTAGATATGCAATTTACAGATTAAGATACAATTACATTAAGATACAGATATATTTTCCTAGTTCTTACTATAGCAAGAATAAATTCCATTGTTAAACATATTATAGCCGAAACAAAATGAACTGGTCGATGAAGGCTACCGAGGTTTGTTCCCACCATTTGGCTATTCCCTGTGCTCCATCTCTCGTTTCTTTACGCAAATCTGCATACGCTGTCTCAGATAGGGGATGTAAACCGATGGAAGGGTGGGGATCGTGCCTCGCACGGTTCGCAGTGGGGGGAAGTGGTTTTGAACAACCAGGTGAGTTTCATTCTACTATAGTAACCGCCAGTTGCTATGCAAGGAGGGAAGAACAGCCAATCGAATTACTGGACTGGGTTAGGTCTGAGATTCGAGTCCTCTCATTCGTCGAATGATTGCTCTGTCACCTAAGCTACCGAGACTTCCACAGATCCTTTCCCCCTAATACTAAACATTCAGCAGGAGCGAAACAGAATACTAAACACTAATTGCACCTAAAATTTAAGTCCAGTTCTACGTACAACTTTGAGTAAATAAAGTTGGGACAATTTCTATATGAATTTTATTGCATTCTGTTTTAACAAAAATAGATTGATTTTCAAATTGTATTATTTATAAGTGATGAAATCAATAAGTTTCTTCAACTTGCCAGGGTATACATATTGTCAAAAAGACCTCAGTTTGAAGCTACTATATTTTTATTCGTGGTTTATGTGTTGTACAATGTGTAATTCTAAGCATTAGAGTAACGAATTCACCCTGGAAACAATTTTATGGTGTGAGTATACAATATCTCTTATTTTGTCAGTAGTATATTCTTAGATTAATTATTTTAATTATCTACACTAATAAATTTGATTATTGATGTACTATCCTTTTATTGATGAATTATCTCATTATTGATACTAATTCTCTTTTTTGGATACTTTATCTGAATAATCTATCAAAATTAAAAGTAACATCAATGAAAATTATGAAGTATCATAAAATGTTTGCATAAAAATGTTTAGGGAGACGTTATGAATATTTGGTACTAAGCAACCTAGGATCGAGTTTTATCTAAAAAAATGACTAATGACGACTACTTCAAGTTTAATACTAGCCGTGTTTCTAACCATTCTGATTAAACAACTCATTCTCAAAACAATATAAATTTACATTTCACAAAACACCGCAAGAACCACTGATTTAACCCAATATTTCAATCTTACATTCGACTCTTCGGCACTAGAACAAAGACCGAAGTTCTATCTCTACATTAACATGTTCCATCTCGCTCGAATGTTGCTAAAAAATGCTACAACCTGAACTGCTTCCGGGGAGCTGGATTCTGCTCTAAAAAAATTGGTATCCATATCTCATACAATCGATTACGAAAGCATCATTCAACGACGCGTCACGGAATCGTTTTACCTCGGGGGTTATTAATTATCGACCACACGGTGAGCGAAGTCGGTGGCCTGATGATTATGAAAAAACGAGGAAGAAGAGGACGTTGGGCGATTTCGGATACAACAGCCGTTTAAATAATTTCAGCCGGGCATGTTGGTACTGGACCTCGACGCGGCGCTCGTAGAGTAGCAGCTAATGATGATCGATGATCTTCTCACTAGGACATAGCCGTGCCCTCGCTAGACAAGATGCGAACGAGCCCAAGAGCTCGCCGGAACATGGCACTCCGCTCGGAAGAAATGCTTTATTGAATTGTCGAAGACAAGTCTTCGATGCCAGACATCTGCCGGCTCGAGCGGACAGAAGACGTATGTTGTCAGCGCGGTAAAACCATCGATCGGATATTTCTTCGAGTTCCTTCTTTTGTTGCCGCGCTGATCAGTCCGAGATGTATTTAAATGAAGGAGTTCGAAGTCGTTTAGCGGAGTACGTTGCCGTCGGGCTGTTACCGTCCCCCGGTTCTTTTTTTCTCCTCGTATCTGCAGAGTTTCTTCAGACCTCGCTGACGGTGTTTTAATAGGCCAGGAATTCTTGGGAGTATTGATCTTTTATCTAATGGGAAAAAGAAGTGGAATGCCGTCGTAAACTTTTCCCTCGAATCGAAGGTTTCTTCGGAGCTGTGTTTTAGTTAAAGACGAAGTCATAACTTGAAAGTACGGAGTACTTCTTGCTGGTATTTACTAAAGGCCTGTTGGCGCACGTTGTTTTCCATTTTCTGAGGACAACTGGTCTCGCATCAGAGGTAAAATAGGTAATTTCTGTAATAAATCGGAGGGATCGATGCGTACTAATTAAATGGTGGGTAGGATTTCATCGGGAAGTCGAGACGATACAGTCACCAGCAAATGTGTCAATGCGTTTATTAATGTACTGTCTAATAATGTACTTTCATCAGAGAAAGGTTTTTCGGTTGCATTTTATTGCTCGATTGTTTAAGATTGAGGTTTTTAACAATCATATTATTGGACACGTTACATTTATTTTTATTAGGAAGAGGCTTTCTTGATTTTAGTGTCTAATTTTTAAAAAATGTCGTTCTAAGCAATTTTCTTATGGAGTATGTTACACATATTCTTATTGAGTAGTCATCATTGGATAACACATTACTTTTATTTTATTACTTGTCCTTTAACGATTGCAGTTTTAGATGATTATATTATTAGACATATTACAATTACTCTTATTAAAAAGATACAATTTATTTTCATGTTGTTTAGTTTTTCAAGTTTGCAGTATTGGACAATCGTATTATAAGACATATTACATCTACTTCTATTAAAAAGAGGCTCTTTGTTATTATTTCAATGCTTGTTTGATGAAGTTTACACTTTTTGTGTATTATAATCCCGTCAACACAAAATTAATTTACGTACCGTGGTCATTTAAAAGAGAATAACGAAACTGATGTAGATCGATGGTCTTCAAACCTAATAAATCAGTGATATTCTTTTTATCTTTCATACTTATTGTTAAAAACTAGTAGAGTGAAGATGCTATTGAAGACAGAACAAGAAATATCTGATGAAAATGAAGTTTTAATTAATATATGACACTCAAAATCAATTTTCTACTTCTTATAGTAACTAGTCTAATAATTATGTGAAATTAACGATAAAATAAATTATCCATTTCAAAGGTTGTGAAGTGGAACCACATTTGGCAAACAAAATCTTGAAAATAATACAATTTGCAAATATGCAAAGTGTAAATATTCTCAACATTATAGTTTTTTAAAGAGATATTTATCAAATGAGTATATAATATTAATAGATACATGTACACATATGTTTCGTAAATATATTATCTTTTCTTTAAGAAACTGTAATGTTATACTGAATATATACATACATATTATATTGTATTGTATTATTATATATTATATAGTATAATAAATCAAGATTATTGACTTTGTGTTTTCAATCATTGAGATATGAAAAAATGTGAAATATCTACATGACATATATAAGGAAAGAGTGAATTTATACTAAAAACATGATTTTTATTCACAATTTAATCTAGAATAAAGTAGAAGGAAGTGGAGGCTACGTAACCCTTCGGGGAGCATTGAATAAATACGTACATAGAACAAATTAGAGATGTAGTAGCCCAAGTATGGTCTGTTCATGTTACAAATATGAGCTCGTCTACTTGTGCATTAAATTCAAAGACACAGAACTAACGATTCCTGTGAGTATCTCTAAGAGATGTTCACGGTAACTTCGAGTTTACACTCGACGAAGTGGCAATATTCCTAAACAACCGAATGAACAACATCCCAGACTATTACAGAGTTATACCCTTTATTGATCGCGTGTAACGTCCAATGCAGCGAGAGACTCTAAGACTCTACCGCGGTGCTGATATTCCGAGATGATCTCCGACAGACCTACTACCGGTTCTCTCAAATTAATTGCAGCAGTTCTATGCTATTTGCGCCGCAGTAATTGGCATGCGCCTCCGCGCATGAATTTCAAATACAGGATGCGTAAGAGGGTAGCTATTAATCCTTGCAGGGTAAAACAGCTAGCCAACGTTTAAATTGTCAATCAAGCGCGAAAGCGTACGAATGAATCTCGTAGGTCCGCGATAAAAACCCACCGAACATTTAGAACGATCGTTTGTATCAATCCGAAGATTGCCAACTTCCTTCGAAAATAGAAGAAAGTATCTCGAGGTTAAGATCTCTCCGAACGCAACGACCATCCTGCTTAGCTGCACGTATCGAGAGGTTCCTTCGCCGAGATTGCTTTTCGATCCCCCCCGTACGCGAGCTTATGCACGCTTCAGGTAGCCAATGCCTTCGAACATTTTACTATAATTTCTATGATAATCTCCGCTATTATGGGGACTCGTTCGAAGGCCCTTTTTGCTCGAGACGGGCTAGCCGAGAGCTCGTGTTCCTCGCGTGATGGCCTATCTCCTCGTTCTCGGTTTCGCCAAAAAAGACGAGGACAAATTGCAGAAAAAATTCCGTAATAGCTCCATAAGTTTTCACCGACGACAGCGGTTAAAGCCTGCGACGTCGACCGACTCACCTCGATTATGCCCTCCGATTCGTGTTCGCCAGACCAATTTCTCGTATCTAAAACAAAAACGAAACGAGTGTCAACGACTCTGTCGACAAGTCGCAAGGATATCGCCTTCTTTGCGAGGAAAAATGAAAGCATCCTTTTTATTAAATGATAGTTTCTGCACTTTGGAGTATCGTAGAAGGGGTCCCATTGAGAAAATTGGTGTAATAATAAAAATATGACGACTAAAGTGGTATATTATAGAGGAAGGAAAGTGCTTCACTAACAGTTTTCACTACGCATTCTTAATAAAAGCTTCGTCTACAAGGAGGAGGTTGAATTAATAGCTGCATGTACCGGGTTGTCTGGAAAGTCCATGTCGATTTTTGGTAGGTGGTACAGGTCTGAATATATCGGAATCGTTGACAACAAATAACATGTATTCATCCCTTAAAAGGTGGAAAGGTTGTGGATTAAAATGGTACATGTGCAATTCAATAAATATATATATATCAAAATTCAAATGCTTCTTTGAATTTTTCTTAGAAATTGGCACGAACTTTCTGGACAACCCAATGATTTAATAATAGTAATTTATATCAGTAGTTACATATTGAAGCTCATAAGCGAAGAATTTGGTCACTGCGTTCATGTGTACGTTCATATCTTTTGAATGAGGCGATATTTTTTTTTCGTTCGGTAGTATAGCAGAACGAACAAACTCACAACATATATATTTCTATTAAGCGTCTTTCTCTTGATTATTAAATAAAGTTTTGAGTTTATCGAAATCCAACTCATATGTATTATATTATATATGAAGAGGGTCAGAGAATATGATTATATGAAGAGGGATAATGATAACAAGCAAACACGAAAAGATAATTTCTTAATGATTTCATCTATTTTTGATTCCTAGATTTGCGACCTCTTTAAAACTCAGTACGTTATTTAGAATAAGGTTCGATATCTTGTATTCTATTAGAAATCAATTCATAACTTATTATTTCAATTTTTGTTTCAAAAAAATGAGGGCGTCTAAAGCACTGATTTATAATTTAATTAGATAACTTTTTTATAATAAATTGCGTCATCACAATGGTACTGCTATAAAAAAAAAAAAACATCAGGCTATGTGATATCAAATCCTCTCCAACCAGAGAAATAACCTTTTCCAAAACCGTTGATCTCTAAATCTGTACTCCATGCACGAACACTTTCTCCAATTGTTCAGTACCTACATAAAGATGAACCACTGTCGTTCAGGTCGGTCGCCTGTGCAGGCAGAGACTTTCCTCGAACCATCTGGGAATACCATGTGTATATAAACACATTCGAAACGATTTCTTCGATCTGAAAATCGTTGTCTGTGGAGATCAACGCAACTGCGGCATCACGCACCAACAACGATGTTGGAAGTGGCGGGCAGTCTGGGAGCATAAATTCATAGAAATCATACGTGAACGCCTACACGAGCCTCGAGCTGACCGCTAGAGCAGCCGATGTCCATAATGCCTTCTCCCCTTCGTCCAACTGCGGCTCCAGCGTTCATGCACAACAGTCATGCGCTTTTTCTTTCCCCTCCGCTCTCCTATGCCTGTATTTTATTACGCTCGCGAGAGCACCTATGTATCGGCGATTTTAATCGGCCAGGCTCGCGGTATTACAATCAAGGGCCACGTCAGAGATTGGCTGCGCTACACCACCGGTAGGTGTATAAATAAATTTAATGATATTCCCCATATTAACTACCGAGACTGCGCCGACGCGCATTTACGCGCTCTAACCCCGAGGCAGCGGGGATTCGAGAACGGTTCGAGGAATTTAGAAGCGACGATTCGTCCGTCAAAAATGAAATACGTTTTGAAGGTCAGTTAGAGCTGATATAAAAAATATTTATGATTGAAACAGCCACTCAGATGGGTTATCAGCAGACTGCGGACCTTTATGCATTTATAGGAAATTTGAATATGCAAGGAACTACAAAATGCAAGCAATATGCAAGACTATAAAAAAGATTGAAAGCAAAGTTCATTTATAATATTTGTAGAATAAAATAAATTTCTATTTCGGTTCAATTTTTTTAGGCATATTCCCGAAGTCTAGTTATCAGCAATTCCACATAGTTTATTAATTAGGTTGGTGCATACGAAATGATTTTCCAGTGTTTCAATCGCCCCGATATTTCATCAATTTTTATCAATATGGAGGTAAAGTTATTCGTAATTGCCATTGTAATTTTATGTAATTGCCATATAGGAAGAAGGGATGACATAGAGGACTATGTAAGTTAATAATGCTTATCGCAATAAGCGTTATCCAAGTGTTTACACTCTTGAAAAAATAGCTCTTAGTAGCATTGAGTACAGTTTAATTGCAATGTACATTGCAATATTAAATACGATTCAAAAACTATTTATGTTAAATATGAATCTTTGGGACCTACTTCGAAGAAGATGTAAAGGTGGAAAACGTTTATATTGTTTGTACCGACTACATATATATTCAAGTTTTACACATCTTTAATAAAACGTTTATCCAAAAATAATCTTATTTTGTAAAAAAGCTTCTAGAATTTTTCAGTCAGTTGTAAAAGCGAATGACAACTGCCAATTCGCAAGATATAAGTTTGCTTATAAACTTTACAATATAAAAGTGACTCTTGTGTTTAACAAAAAACTTAGTATAAAAACGTAGTTCTTATCAGTGATGCTGAAAACAAGACATAGCTACTTAGTTTTGAAGATAACAATTCATTTGTACAATATGTTTTAACTTAAATTGATAAAAATTGGAAAATTTAATGTTTTGTATTCGCTAAATAGGTTTAAAACCAGTACAGTGATGACTTAAACTTCCTTTAATTTTACATAAACTGTCTACATCATATCTCAGTTCCAAAAATATCCTTACTATCGATCACGAACAGTGGTAAAATGAAGTTGCCTAGTGTCATTTTACATTGTTTCATATATCTTAAGAAATGCGTACAATTTCATGGATTCCTCTGAAAAATAATGCGTTACAGTAAGAGTGATGGTTTAAGGATTATATCGTATATTTTCTCGCTAGACTTCAGATGTTTATACAAATTCATATTCCTACAAATATAAATAAAAAAATGAAATTCGAAAGAAAGTATCCCTTATCTTCTAAACAGTGTATCAGTACTTTTTTATTGATATTTTATGTACATTTGAAATTGTGCACATTCTTCTACATGTTCCCATATTTCCAGTTACAATAAATGCATGAACTTTCACAATCTACGCATCACATTATACTTCTGTCACTAATAGTAACTTAATATTACAATGGATAGTCCTCTAATGACGATTCAGAAAATGCGGTCGCGGGGGAATTGTAAAAAAGGCCAAACTGCATTACATCGGCAATGACATATTAATAACAAGTATCCACATAATCTATATTTAAATTAATTTACCAATTAATTTCCAATATAAATCCTACACTATATTTCCATGAGGAGTTTATGGCACTACACGCTAAGATAAATTGAGCCATAAATTGCCAGTCGTTAAATGAAATTAGATTTATTAAAGTTCAGTGAACTTAAAAGAGAAAATAGACTCGAACGATGTCCAATAAAGTTTTCGGAGTGAATAATATACATTGATTTAGAATAATTAAAGGGGATAAGATTAATAAAGGTTTATTTATAGACGATCTTAGGAGCGAAGGAAGTACGTCTGTAGTTAATCGAAAGAGTGAGACGAAGGTTGAATTACAATTCTGATAGTTTCGATTAAAATTATGAAATACGTGAGGCAGCGGAGTGTTTAAAAAAGCTAGATATAGAAGTACCTGTAGGAGTGGTTGGTACTCTTAGCGAAGACTTAAATTGAAAATTTCAAATTACTAATCTCGATTCTTTTTTTTTCGTTCGAGTTCATCGAGAATAACTTGCGCATTATTTATTCGCTCGTTCTATTTAACGAAATTATACCGATAGAATTGAATAATATGTTCTCATCGGATTGATCGTAGCTACGTAAGGGGTTAACAAAGGTTAATCGAAAGCGTTTGGAACGGTGCATCACTGAATTACCGTGCATGAAACGTCGGCGAAAAATGTATTTCAATTTTCTAGCGCGTGTATTGAAATGAATTCGCGTTTAGAATTTGTCTCGTGTCTCGGCGCTATTTCGCGGACAGTTATTTACGGCCAGGTTGATCGGACCGAAACGTTCGCGCCAGTTAAATCGAAACCGATCGGAAAATTCAAATTACGTCCATTCAAAGAAATAGATATACGTATGATAGGACTGGCTGACACGGACCGATTTCTGCATTTTCATAACGCGTTCCGAGCCCGCTTTCTCGTTTCACGCTCGTAGATTATGTGCGCTGACGATGGACGACGGTATGCCGATGATGAGCGATATTGCTCGTTCAAGCGAGAAATCGTTCGAGTTTCGAGCCCTGGACTCGCTAGTGGCCGTGCGATATCGGCGAGTCGAACGATAAAACTTACGATACTCACAAACTTTGCTTCTCCGGCCGGACTCGCGAAACAATCTTGCGCATATTACTATTTCATGGGTATCCCAATGCTTTTCATGAACAATGTACGTCGCAAGACCGAGTAATTGGCGCTGATTTATTTATGATGATTTACGAGAGCTTGTCAGCTTACGCTGGGAAAAACATGACAATAAAACTATGAAGCCGGTCTATTTGACCTATCTAAAGGGTTTTCCAAGAGAAATGGAGTTTTAGAATTTGTTCTGGTTAAAAAACGAAAAACCTAAGACTTTAACTAATTTTTCTATAAGTAATCTTTTTATTATATTTATAAACAAACTTGGTAGTAAAATAGTATGGTTTTTTAAAAATATATTAGTTATGTATTCACACAGGATTCATAAATATAAAGGGTTTACAAACAAGGGATTTAGGTTTTTATTTTCTGATAAAACACAAGTGATATGGAACACCATTTAATTCTCTTATAGGAAATAAAACAGAAATTTGTATTCTGTACAATATACCGAATTTTGCGTTATAATCAATTTATTATATCGTTTCGCACGAAATTTTCAAAGTTAAA